CAAAAGGATGGGCGATTTGAAACACGACTAAAGAAGTTACATATTGTTTTCCTCCCATGTAGAAAAACGACTGACTGTGTTGTAGTCATGTGAGGATTTTCACTTAGTGGGTCTGTTCCTTATTGAGTTACCAGCACATGATTCTCCTAGAATTTATGACAAGGAGCAAAGAATGAGATTATTTTAAAGGAATGCAAATAGGATTGATTATCAGTAAAAGTCCAAAACAGAATTCAATAAATATTGGAAATCACCAATTGATTGATGAACTAGCTATAGTTTAGTCAGCAGATTTCTTAAATTTATTGATAAATTTAACACTGTGAGCTGATTTTGATGTTTAAAAACAGTTTTATCAGACATTAGATCAAGTGTACCCTGCTCTCACCTCTAAAACTGAGTGGATCAGCATTTATGAGAAAATTGTATCATTTTAGTGTGTAGACTAGGCTACGCAAGTCTTTGTGAGTGGTGCAGACATGTTTTTGTTTTTGCATTTCTGTTAGGATGCTTGTATAGGTTTTATCTGTTCCTGCTACTGTTAAATCTAAACACATAATTTTAAACCATATGAAAAGTTTTTTTAAAACATCTGGATTGTGTAGAGGCTATAGATTAATTTAAATCGGCTTTCTTTTTCTTGCTTTTATCTTGTTGGACGGTGTTGCATGTTTTAGCATGTTTCAAATTTTGTACATAAAATAATTGAATTCAAACCCCTCCAAAAGATCTTTTTTGTCAGTTTAATAAACTCATTTACAAGAAGACAAATGGTACAAAAGCCACAAATAAACTTTATTGTAGTTTTCATAAACCAACTAAATAAAAACATGTATTTTTTAAGGTTTTCTGTATGCTTGTTTTTGATATGTCCATTTGTCTAATTACTAGAGAAAAAATCAATTCAATTTGGAGCTATGTTTATTTAATGTGCCTGTGAACTAATTAAATAATACCCAGTGGAATGATGTGACGCGGCTCATAACTTAATTGATTAACAAAAGAGCGATCAGTGATTTATCCCTGATGAAACATGCACTGTGCTGCAACAATGTACAGCATCCGTATGTGTCAATAACCAGGTTACTTCCCCATTTAAAACAATAGGAGTTAAACCTACAATCTACATGTCACTTTAGCCACAGTAGCTTGAACTCCATTCTGTAGCATTTACAAATAAGAGTGTGCTTTTTTAAAAAAAAATATTTGTAAAGTAACAAGGAATACAGATTTTTTTATACATTAAATATAAGAACTGTTCAGTTATTGCTGTACTAATCTTTCGCCCATAAAAATGTATTAAAGTCATTATACCCTAAGAACACTTCATGTCATTTTAAGAAGAAATACCTATTTTTTTTAGCATTTACCAGTAGCTCCATGCATCTGCTGATCCATTCATATTTCAATGTTCAAATCAAAAATGTTGCCTTTCTGCACAGCTCTTTCTGTCATGACATTGTAGTCCACCACATCACTGCAGATGCAGTTCCAGACAGTTCACATGTTGAGTTTACCTTTGTTAAACCCTAAAGGACAGCATAACCCCTTTGCTTGAGGCAACAGTTTATTTTTAACTTAAAGTTCACAGTCCACATTTTTCCAAGAGAGGAATGAAGACATCAAGTCTTCCTTTAGCTGAATCATGCTTTAAGGCTCTCCTTGTGTCTGCTGGAGGTCTCCGCTCATTGCAGCCAAACACATTCTCTGCAAAAAAATCTAAGTTTCAATCTAAAGTCAACAGAATAGGAAACCCTCCACCCCCTGATTGTGTCTAGACACATTCTCTCCATAAAGGTTACAAACACAGTCGCTGACAAAGGGTAGCCTAATGGAGTCCAACACCCACCACAAATGTCTCTGACGTACTACCAGCAACATGAAACAAACTTATTCTGGGATCATTTGCACCAGTTGAAACCAGTACAAATGATCTGGTAGTGGTTCCTTTGTGTGTGTTATACAGCTATAATGTACTTTGAACATTTCTGTCAGCATTGACAGAATGAGATTAAACCATCTCTCTGTTTTATTTTGCAGTTTAAATGTGCTTGTTATGCATCTAGTTTTATAGGGTGAATACTGACCCGTTCTTTGTTCAGAAGCAGACAACTTTGCTCTCAGTTCAGAGCCTATTTAATGCATCAGTTGGTCAGAGTTAAAATGTACCAATCATCACCTAAAAATGATCTGCCAGTAATAAGTTCAGCTTGTGCTTATGCCTTTCTAGCCTCTACGGTTACTTTGCTGTATTGTTCAGGAGTAAAGCAAAACAGAGTGGCAAAATAAATTAAAACACAAGCAGATGTTTAAACATCTGAATATCTGGTACCTGTATGAGTGGTTATGCATTTGCAATTACAAGTGGAATGTTATGTCATTCATTTTTAAAATTTAATATTAGTTGTATGCAAATGTTTCTCTCAAATAGCCTTTTTTGTGGGGAAATTTTAAAATGTTTCTCTTATCATTTCCATTTGAATGCCAGGTCCAGAGGTTTGATGATGATCTCAAGAGAAAGCAGAGTGTTAAACTTTAACCTTCCTTGCAGGTGACTGCAGGAAAATAAGGTGCATGTGTGAATTTTTCTCATTCTTCTGTGCTCACAGCCTAGATCTAATAGTCTCTGACACAGTCTTATGAAGGTAATGATGGACAACCTGTGTGTCCGTGCGTGTGTGTATGCATGTATGCGTGTACTTGCGTAGGTGTAAATGTGTTTGTGACAGTCATGAAACTTAGATGCTGATTATTAACAAACCAGTGCTAGAAAATAGGTGTTTTGGACTCTAACTGTGCACACACAGTGCATAAATGTCAAGTTTTATACAAACTTTACAGTTTATAAAGATAAATACAGTAAAGAACTTGGTACTCTAACCAACATCCTGAACCAGCACAACAGAAGACACGACCCTGGGAAAAAAATGCCTTGTTGGGATCTGACATGGCAGATTGTGCTTGATGGTTTAAAAAACACCATGGCAACAAAAACCATAAGAATGCACTGTAAATTGTCATCAACATTGTTCTACTTTTGTGCACAATAGTCAGAAAGCAGGCTGTTCAGTGTTTTGCTGATCTAATAAATTCCTAAGTCATTGGGTTGCATAATACACATTTGAACCCTAAATTGTTCTTATGCCCTATGATTTACAGTCAGTTTACAACTTCAACATTTTTGTTGTAAAGATGGTGTAAGTCTTGTTTGCAGTTTCTGCATTCTAAACAAGAATAGTGAGGAAAAGAAGAATGTAACAGCAAAATAAATATGTAGCTTCAACGCTAAATAAAGTAAAGGGGTGATCCAGTTTATTCATACAAGTGACAACAGAACCTTACAGAACACCGTAGAGAAACACTGAAAAACAGCCAGTTACTCCATGGTCCTTACAGGTTTGGGGAAGGGCTTTTAGTCCTGCACAAAGTTACTGATTGTACCAACTGAGTTTCAGGTAGTTTGTTTGGTGTTCTGGACACAGAAACCTGAAAAAGAATAAGCTGTCTGTTGGGTTTATTATGAACCTTGTCAAAGAGGTTTTGTTTTTAACTCCTCACACAGAGGAGCAGTCAATTTTAATTTAGCCGGTACAAAGTAGTTATGTTTTATTGCTTCAAAATAAGTTTTATAGCAATACCATAGAAGTAAAAGTTACGTTTATTTTTTTAATTAACATTTTTTTCATTCTAACACAACTAATGCTTTCTAAATAATCCATTAAATTAATTTGGAAAAACTCCACGCCCCCAAATAGTTAGTTATTTATCCTCATAAGTTTCTGTGCACCTTAATGCCATTCTGTTCTTCTCTCTTGTTATTCCTAGAAACTATTTCCAGTGATGAGTACTGTTTCATGTCTAATGCACAGCACTGAATCATGAACAGAAATTAAACTCAGTTACAGTTTAAACATTTCCTGGAAGCATGTACTACTTTGTACGTTATGTAATCCCTGTGTTTGGTCTAATTTAATCAACATTTGTTAAAGCCAAGAAGAAATAAATTGTATTTTATCAAACACACTTGAATTAATTTCTGACACAGACTTTAAATCAATTACAGGAAGAAAGCTTGTTGGTATGCATGAATGCCTCTGGGCTTGTTACAGTTTTGCCTGAGGCATCGTGGCAGACCTGTGCCTGTCGTTTTGAGAACCTGAACACAGAATTACTTGCAGTGAAAATCACACATGCAATTTTAGTGAGGGTCCAAAAAACATTTGTGCAACTGAACAGTGAATTATAGTAGCTTGAACTGAAGCTCAGTACTCTGGCACAAACAGTTCTTAAAAAAAAAACAAGACTTCACAAAAGCTCAAAATGCTTCCTGGGAATGTCTTTTCTGCCTATTTATGTGTAATGCAACTTTACTAATAACTTTTTCATATCTTCAATTTTTTTAATGTTTGACTTATAATTTGTTGGTATACTCCTTTTTGTCTGGTTCAAGGTGCTCATTTTGGGAGAAAAAAATGCTGCTGAGTCTGATTGTTATTTTTTTTGTTGTTTTTATTGCTTTTCAGTTTTGCACTCAAACAATATTTTGTAGTCTTGTGCATGAATAGATTGACTTCATGCTGACTTTTACTGTATTATTTCTTTGCGTTTGAAAACCATGTCACATTTTCTGATTCTTTTTGATTTTTTCTTTATAGATCTTATGTTATTATACTGTCAGTTTTGTACTGTTTGTCTCATCACCTTGTGTTGCATTTCAACATTTGTGTCACCAAGGCTGCCTTTCTTCAATATTGATGCAGCTTTAAGGGTCTGGTTAAATATTTGGCTTTTAGCTGAAGAAGTTCCTGAATAGAGAAACTTTCACCTTTATGGTATAAAACACATGAATGTTGCCTTTTTTATGTCTCCCTCTTTCATTTTTGTGAACTCCATTTATTTGTAACATCTTATAGTGACGAGAACTTCAGAACGATCACAAAGTTGTGCTAAATGTTACAACAGGAATATTAATTTTGGTTCTGTTCTCTTCTTCTCTGCAGCTCCGCCACCCAGCAGATTCAACAGAAGAGTGTCGGGTAAGAAGAGTGGGTGTGATTTTTACGTGTGTGTGTGTGTGTGCACGCACTTGTCTGTGTGTGTGCTTTTGTGTGTTTGACGTCATGTCCCTTAAGTATAATCCACACTGGGTATGAAGTTGCGTACATCACTGCCTCACTGGCTTTCCCACATTTTATTAGTGTGTTTCTGTGTTGTGCAACTGAAATACTGTTGAGGATAAGTGGTAGCTTTACTAACATTGTTTAGTCAATGTTTAGATAATGAATATTTGTGCAATATTGAGAAGCTCCACTCCGGTGAGGTGTTTGACGTTTCGTGCGCTGGCTTTGTGTGTTTTTCTGCAGTAGTGTCTGTGGTCTTGTGTGGACAGCATGCTTGTTTTCTCACGCTAGCCATCCAGTGTTTACATGAGTGATTGAACGCCGCCAGCCGTCACAGAGCGCTGCACTTTGATTAGGCTCTGGGTGTGTCAAATCATGTTTATCTTTTCAGTCGTCTCACCAGCTTTTACCACAACTTCATTACGATGTGGTATTTTCTATCATGTTAGTTTGAAATTTCTTATTATTAGTTTTTAATATATAATTTGCAAATAAATTAGAAGCCTGTGGGGTTTTAAAAAAAGAACTGGTTCAGTTACTTTGACAAATGTTTTATAGTCTTCACAGACCTTTGTTGTAATATTGCAAGATGTATTAATCCATTTAAGGAAATAAAAAATTGTATTAATTCATCTACAAAGACTGAACATTAATTCAGTTGATATAACATTACACTAGTTATTGAAATAAGAGGAATATGGCACTTAAATACAGCTGCTCATCGCAAAATAAAAAAAACTTAACTGTTGTGCAAACTAGCACAAGTCATGTCAAATATATTTTATGTTTGAAACCTTAAGTGTACATTTCATATGCAACAAAACAAATGCCTAATAAAAATGATGCCATAATTTGATTGCATAAATTAATAAACATAATTATCTAAATAAAAAATGCCTTGTGAAATGAACTTAATTTACAATAACATCAAATGGTATTGGGGGAAAAAAAACTTTTTCTGACTGGCTTAGATCATTACTTCTCCCTTTTTTTCCCCAGAGGTAACACTTTTTTGTAAGGATCTTTTATAAATGTTTCTATAAAAGCTGGAGGTTCAGTGCAATTCTTTAGTTGTTTGCAGCTCATTTACCCAGGAAGGAAGAAAGCCTCACAGATGCACCCGCTTTCAGTGCCTATCTTCAGCTGCAAAACATAGGGGCCCCACCTCAGTCTTCCTCGTGCTACAGGAAGAACGATTGTGCAGGCCACAGTTGATTCCTCCTCTGTGAGCAGAACGTTGTTTTATTTCTGTCAAAAATCAAATAAACATTCTAACGGGAGGTTCCACTATTCCACACATTGGATGAGTAAACATCCTAAACTTAAATTCTCCTTTTCTATCCCTCCAGTTCTTTGCCAATTCTTCAGTATGCATGCAGATCCAGCCTGGCACCTTCAGCAACAAATTAAAATTTATGAATTAAGTTTAGCAACATTTTCAGTAATCAACATAAGTGTATTATGATGATCTTAGACAGTTATTTTGATCTTCAAATATTACAAGAAAAAACATCTAAATCCCTTAGAAAAACTGTCTCATTTGCATTTGTTTGTATTAGATGTCTTGCATGATGAATCTATTTTTCTATACTCAGTATTGTGCAGAAATCACATACTTTGTGACTTAGATTAAAGCGTGCTCTGATTTTTACATGAAACAAGTGGATGAACAAAAAAACTTATTCGTTTGTTTTGAAGAGGCTTTTGTCTTTTCAAAAGTGGACAATGGGAGTATGGAAACCTTTGTGACACATTGTGATTCACCAGCTGTTTCCAGTCTTTGACACAAAGTAAACTCATATGTGTTCCCAGATGTTTCAAAGTATCACAGATATCCCCAGAGGTCTCTTCACTTATTTCCACCTCACTGTAGAAGTTTACAGTAGCTGCCTTTAATGTCTAGGTAGTGCAACTTCTTCTGGGGAATTGCACCATAAGCAAGGTTGTGTTTACTGCCTCCTTGTGGCGACACTTTGCAGCCTAGATTACTCTCCAAGTCAGTTGCTCATTCAGGTTTCTTTGTTTTTTTTAATGCCTTTCATTTTTGCTTTGCTAGTATGTGGAATCCTGACTATACACTATCCAAAATCAACCAACCTTTTAAACATGCATGTTTTATTATTATTATTATTATTATTATTATTATTATTTGTAGCTTCAAATATTTTATTTAGATGGGGAGTAGCCATCTTCATACAAACTGATGAAAACCAACAGAAAGCCTGGGAGTGCTCTTCCTGTGTAACTCCTGGCTTTTATTTAACCTTTATGATTTATTAGCAGGTATAAAGTGTGTACAATTAATAGATGTCAAAATGTAAACTGGCAGGAATTTAGAGACAAATTATGTCTCCAAAAAGCTGAAAATTTTTGAATTTTTCAGAGATGAATTTTCCCACTGCAGCAAGTCAGTTCTCATCAAAACAGATAAAAATGGTTGGTTACTTTTTATTAAGTTGAAGCCAAAAGACTGACCAACTGTTCGACACCTAAACAAACAGCAGGATTTAATAAAAAAACAGGAAGTGACTTTGTTTTTGCTTCTTTATAATACCCTCATTTTTCACCGTAGGGACATAAATGTCACACCAATGTTTTCAGGAAAGCTGTGAATTTCTCACAGTAGCAATATTGTCATCAAGAGTTACAATCTGTCCTCAATTAGCTATTAACATCACCATGACGACCTTTACTTAGACTCAAAACACTCGGTTGCTCTTTCAACAGAGTGCACATTTACATGCTGAATTTAACCTAACTTGAAGACACACTTGGATCCAGCTTTTTAGCAGTTTGTCTCATTTGTTTAATTTAAAGGTGAGCCTTATTGTACTTTCTAGCAGTTATTGGAATCAACAACTAGCCAAACTGCTAAAAATCTTTGGTAAATACTTTTGGTTTTGTGTTTAAATATCAAAATAAATGTATTTGTATTATGTATTATATTTATTCTGCATTAATTCACAACAAAAGTCATATTAGTCTGCTTTTTTTGAACAGTATCAAAACGAGAACAGTAAAAGCTGTAAATTTAGGATTAAAAATGAACAAAAATAGACTAAAAGCATTTTTTTTTTGTTTGTTTTGGGTTTATTTTTTGTGCAGGACTATTAATGTTTCAGCATTTCTAGTAGCAGAGTTTACTCTCAGTGTGCTGAAGGCACCCACTCACAAGGCCAAAGTTACTACAGTTAAGTAAAAGTGGATAGTTGTGTGTGTGTGCGTGTGTGTGTGTGGTACTACAGCCAGCAAGGATTACATTACACTACATGTCTGTCTGTGTAAGACCACACCCTCTGATAAGCACCACAACAAGTTGCACTGAGACAGCTGCTGTACAGATGATGACGTTAAAGCTGTCAATTTCAGAGCCAAATTGTGCAAACCTGCAGTCAGTAAACCAAGGGTTATTTTTTATCAGCAGCAACCTAATATCTGAGAGCACATGCAAAAGTTTACTGAGGCACAGATACAAGGGTGAACAGAATTTGTCTGCTCTTTTTACAACTTCAGCATTTCATATGGAGGTCCTGAACCGACAGCTTTATCTAACAGTTAAAGACAAACAGGATGAATTATCTTTGTCACAGGTCAGTTACTCTTGAAGTGGTGGCAGCTTCAACTGCTTGCAGACATCTATTTGCTTCTAATAAAGTTTCCACATGGATGGCTTTGAAGCAGCATGCAAAGCAAGAGCTGTGGCATTACAAATTTCTACAGCAAAACAAGGTCATGGAGCAGTCTGCACAATCACAATAAATTTATAATTATAACATGACCATGCAGAAAGGTTTATAAAGGCTATAATTCATCAGAATGTGTGCACTCTTACTTTAGATGTTGGAATACAGGAACTCAGGCTACAAAGGCAGTGCATAGGTTTGCAAAAAGAATAAGAATAGGTTTGTATATACTTTAACAATAAAAATGTATGCGTAAGAGTTCTGTAAAAAAGTCATATCAGGTGTTTTTGTATCCAGACGTAAGACACACTTAGGAAACTGTAGTTAGAGTTTGTACATCATTTCCTGCCTTCTGTTTAGTTTTCAAGAAGAAATTAAATGTTTGTGGACTTATGCAAGCTTTACACAATCACTTTTATAAATTTTACTGAAAACTATGGTGCACATTTCATATTTATGTTAAGTTTGATCATGTTCCAAGTGATCTTAAAATTTTAAGATTCTAGTACTGCTTTATTATTTTTAGTGTTGGGTTCAGGCCTTGACAACACATTGAAAGATAAAAATTTGCACAAATAAAATTCACACATTCATGTACATTTTCTTCACAATTCTAGAGTAATTTTTGTTTGTTTGAACCCGTCTGCAGTTTTGGGTTCATTAGATCTAGATTGTTCAGAATGGACGCCGGAGCTGCGCTGGTATGGGATAAAAGTTGTGCCAGCAGGAATTGAATTTGAATCGCTCAGATTGAATCTGAATTTGCATAATTTGAAAGTGAATGCATTGGTTTGAAAATAAGTATCACTAAATTGAAACTGAATTTAATGAATTGAATCTGAATTTAAAGATTTGTATCTAAATTGGATCAGTCAGCAGCAACATCTGATCAATATGTGATACATGATGTGATGTAAATGTAACATTTTTGACATATAGGTAAAATTAATCACTGCAATAAAATAACTGTCCGTTTTTGTCTCTTTTACGGTGGATTGCATCAACTCTGTTACATTCCAGAAGGGAAACTTCACCAAAGTGAAACGTAAATCTGTGGATCTGTATTTGATTACTCTGGCTGGCTTTCTCAAGGACCAGGATGTGTGACACAAAAACCTGAATTTTGGAACAGAAAATGAAAGTAGTCAAACTGAATTTTTAAAGGGGCAGTATCATGTAAAATCAAGTTTTATATCATGTTATAATGTTATACTCTCATAAAAAACATGCCCAAAGCCTTGCTTTGACTCATTCATGCATGTTTGAGAAATCCTGCAGTGTTTTTAGGAAGCCATGCTGAGGAGCAAAACGACAAGTGGTGACCAGAAATGCCTTTTGGTACCAGAAACGCCCCTGGGACGTGTCTTTTAGCCAAACTTCCTCATGGCAGAGCGCCCCCCTCCCTCCCCACACACCCCGCCCATGACTCCTGCAGGCTCTCAGGTGAAAGTGAAAGTGAAACTGAACTTAGTCTGCTGAGTTCCACTACTTCTCACTCACTGAAGGTCTTTTCAGATTCAAAATACCTTTGAGGAAATGTATTTTCAGATGCCAAGTAAACTGTATCTTAACTCCCCCTCCCCCTGCACTGAAATGGGCAAGACAGAAGTGGAAGGTGGTTCTTAAAGAGACAGAGGCCAATTTCAAGGCGTTTAGAAGAGGAAGTGATGAGAAGATAAGTTTATTTTCTATTTAAACATAAAAACAGCATATTAATAACAACTAAAGGTGACATAGATACTTTATTATGGTATGGTATTTAAATATATGCCTGAGAAACACATAATATTGCCCCTTTTAATAAACCAAAATAGTTTCAAAGCAAATTAATTCAGATACAAACCATTAAATTCAGTTTCAATTCAGTAAAATTTCTTTTCAAACCAATGCATTCAATTTCAAATTATGCACATACAGATTCAATCTGAGCAATTCAAATTCAATTCCTACTGGCACAAGATTTATCCCATACACTGGAGTCAATCTACAAAGATCACGTTGCACCAACAGGGAACAAGCACAACATCCGTATTTTCAAAATCATTCACCAAAACCAGACTAATTTTGTCGAAATCTTAATAAATATATGGATATATTTATACATAAATGTTGTCAAAATGTATCGTTCTGTTTGAGGAATTAGATAGCAACATATAGCATATGCACACACACGCACGCACACACGCACACACACACACACACACACACATGATACACTGATTTTATTTTGAAATCAGAAGTTTCAAAAAGACAGCGATGCAGTTTTAGCTACGAACTGCGCAGCGGAGCGGAACCGCATGCAGTGTAAATTAGAGGTTGGACTCATATTTTAACTGCATTTTCATTTGGCTTATTGATTTTTATTTTTACCACCTGATCAAGCTGGAGAAAAGCAGCTGACACATTGCGATTTGAGAGGTCGCACTGTAGCATACTTCATTGGTTCCTGAGCGAAAAGATGTTAGTGGTGTGATTTCCACACATGCATTTTGAGTCTTCAGCGTGTTAAGTCCAAATGTCATATGAGAAGTGGAGTGTCTGCAGAGTTAAAGAAACACAGATACAAAGTGACAATTTTAAATGACCTTGTCAGTGTTTGTCTTCTAGTGAGGCAAAACATGTTGGAGTGCATGTGTCATTTCTTCCTCTGGGCTCCTCCAGTGTCTCCGCTTATCCTGCAGCCCATCCACTCATTTTGTTGTTCAATATCTTTTCTCTGTGTGACATCATAGCTTTCCTTCAGCTGCTTCACCAGAATGTGATAGAAGCAATATCCTTGACTTTCTATTTTTGTCTGGTTTGCATTTTTTATTTTTATTTTTTTACTTAATCAAGCATCCCCCCACATTTTTATTTTGTCAAAATGTACTATACATTTAAATAGTTCAGTTACAGTGGGAACGCTTGTATTTTTACTTGATGTAACTGCAGCATAACCACACAGAATTTTTACATGTGTAAAACTGATTTAAATATCTTCCCATCAGTCTGTGCCGAGACGATCAATCCAGACGAGGATGACGAAGACACTGAGCCCAGAGTGGTTCACCCAAAAACAGATGAACAGCGCTGCAGACTGCAGGAGGCCTGCCGAGACATCCTTCTCTTCAAAACACTAGATCAAGTATGATTAATGTTAAAACACACAAAAAAATCACATCTTTCACACAGCGTTGCATCAAACTGTTCAGATGGGTGGTTAAAAAAATGCACAAACTGAAAAATAAAGAGATCTCTTTTCATAGAAATTCACAATTCACTGCTATTGTAGCTGGCTGATTATGTTTTCAGATTCTGACATAGTTGGAAAATAAACTAAGCTGCTGCTCTATGATAGCACACATGAAAATAGTCTGAACACACATTATTGCAAAATAAATAGTTAAATCATCATTTGTGTCCAATATTTTCTCGTTTCCCCTCCAGGAGCAGTTCTCACAGGTGCTGGACGCCATGTTTGAGTCAAAGGTTCAGCCCCAGGAGCATGTCATCGACCAGGGTGACGATGGAGACAACTTTTATGTCATAGAGAGGTAGGCACCAGACAGTTGTGTTGGGCTGTTAAAGTTAAATTTATTTATTTATTTATTTATTTATTTATTTATTTATTTATTTACTTACTTACTTACTTACTTACTTACTTACTTACTTACTGTCCATTTGTTTTAGGGAGCTTGAACGTCAGATAGCCAAAGTTTACAGCCTAAATGAGTGTAAAAAAAAAGAACCTGCAACACAGAACTACCAAGAAAAAACTACTAATTACACATGGTAATTAAAATAAAAAAAATAAACCATAGACCTTAGGCCTTTGTAGTTTAGTATTTACATATGATGCCTATAACTTGTTCTGTCTACATCTATGTAGACATAAGCCCTGTAAGCAAACACAAACCCTGCAGCCTGTTTGTTTAATTTTGTGCTGGATTACATGTGAGAAGATAACGTGTGTGAACAGCTTTTCATAGTGCAGTTATTGTTGAGTTAAAATGAAGGAACAACAAACTTGACCCCTGTGTTCTTTTCAATGAAGAAGTCAAACACTTGTAAAAAAAATTGTTAGATTTAATTGAGTGTGAAGCTTTGACTCCTGCTTTAATGTAGTTTATTACATTTAAACTGCACCACCTCCCATATTTTAATGTTTTTATGATAGACATCCATTGTGTTGCAGGAATTATCAGAAGACAAAAACTGAATACACATTGTTTGAATGAGTTTGTTTCATAATGTGATTTAATCCTTGAGCATATTTACATACATGTAATTCCTCCACACTTCATAGTGTGTCAGTTTTATTCGCTGACCTTTTGTGCAGCTTTGGTCATCCCTACCCGTCAGTTGACTCTAAACTGAGCCTCTTGTCTTACCAGTGTCTGGCAGCTGTTCAGTAAAAAGATAAACAGTTCTGCTCTGAGGCCCATGAAACGGGAAACTCACCACAAACTCTCGGGCAGAAGAAACCATAAAATCATTACAGGGGACATTCCAAACATAATAAAGATCCTTGTTGAAAAATATTGCCAGAGTGAGAACAAACTATGCTGTTGGCTATTTGGATTTTAGTTTTTAATTTATTAAGTCCTCCATGCTTTTCTTATTTAGTTTTTTCAAAACATCTGAAGCTTTAATTGTCCTGAAATACCATAAATACTTACAAAGAGTGAAGTTCAATTCCAAAATATATGATTGAATATAGGATTATGTGGAGAGATGTTTTCTTTTCTATTTTTAGAAATTAAATATCACTAAACAAACTGCTCAAGAGAGGCCTAAACTGATTATTTTTATATAAACACACATACTTGCATTCCAGCAGGGAACATCCACATTTTTTCTGCTATAGCACTGAAATATAAAATGTATTACTAACTTTTTATGAAGCTAAACCCATCTATTCATTTAAATAATATGCATTATTTAAGAAATATTGTCTCCTTCCTTTAAATCGACTCCAATTTGACAAATGTCTCAATGAACACTGCTTTTACACTTGTTTTATGTGTTAAATAAACATTGAAGAGCACAACAGCAGCACATAGATAATCTGTCTTTACTTCAGCTTGCTGGCAGCACAAGTGATCACTGTCCTGTGGTCATGATAATCCAGAGTAACATAATACTCCACCAGTGATGAGGCTTTAGCCTCTTCAGCCAATGAGAGGACACTCTATCGCACTAAATGACTAGTTAATCCTGCCATGCAACATTAATGCAAATTACCCTCCTTATCTATAATCCTCATCCAGAGGGAAAGAGGGAGGGCAGAGGGGGCTTGTTGAACAGTTACTCTAAATCAGCAAAGTATGCTCTGTAGTTTGTGGACTTCCATTGTTTTCAGAGTGCCATAAAATGAAATAAAACTGTATAAATGAAAAAAACAATGACTTACAAGTTTTGATGCGGGTCATGTATAAATAATGTAAAACATAGATTCTCAGTATTCCAGTTGATATCCCATTTCTTAAAGCATACGTATTTGCTTTAAGAGTCACAACAGATCAAATCAATCTGTTGCTTTTATTTTGTGGGTCAAAACCTGGAAAATGTTTTGTGTTAAAGTGGCCTTGCCTTTGGTTGACTTTAAACTCAAAATCAGATCTAATGTCACTTTTGTGCTGAAAGTAGTTTGTATCAGTAAACAAATCCCATTTAACGGCTGATAGTAAAAAAAACACTTCAATTAAGTCTAAGATTGTTTTTAACTGTTTCTTCTTCTCTGTAGGGGTGTTTTTGACATCGTGGTCTCAGGAAACTGTGTGGGTCAGTATAACAACAAGGGCAGCTTTGGGGAGCTGGCACTCATGTACAACACGCCACGTGCCGCTACAATCGTAGCCACACAGGAGGGAGCACTATGGGGCCTGGTAAGAACACACGAGTCAACCATAAAAAAACACAAAATCTATGTTTACGAGATGTTACTGAAGTAATTTAGAAGCAGAACATGATTTGAGTTTTTATTATTGCTCCTATTGAGTGGCATTCAAAAAAAAAAACCTCACAAACTGTTTTATTAGTTCCATGGCTTGGTACTGTAATGGTTGAGAACAGTTTCTTTCACCAAATCGGGTACAGAGAGCTGTGAGGCTCAGACATGTTAAGAATGGAATCAGTTTTCTATGAATGGAGCCGTGCTTTGACCCAGTGTGTTGTGCTGCTGCAGCGCCTCCCACTGGACAAGCTTAGGATAACAATAATCAAATGGTCCTATTGAGCTGCAATATTTTAAACGTCTTTTTTTATCACCCAAAATTAGGACCGTGCCACATTTCGTAGACTCATTGTAAAGAACAATGCCAAGAAGAGGAGGATGTACGAGTGTTTCATTGAGTCTGTGCCGTTACTCAAGTCACTGGAGGTGAGTTTGGTTTGTAAACCATTTAAAAACATCTTTAATTCCTAATATATTTAGGTATGAGCATTTCAGTATAGAAACCTGAATCTTTCCTGCTCCCATTGTTTTTTTATATATTGTTTTTCTTTTTTTTTTTCTTCTTTAACCTCCCTGTTTTAATTTTTCTCTGTCCAGGTGACAGAAAGGATGAAGTTAGTGGACGTATTAGGAGCAAAGCAGTTCTCGGATGGCGAGCGCATCATCACACAGGTGAGGGACCGAGGTATTACTGTGTTCTACTTGTACGTACCACACATGATTACATTCCTGTGTATTTCTGACTGTGTGTACCTTTTCTCTTCAGGGAGACAAGGCTGACTGTTTCTACATTGTAGAATCTGGAGAAGTCAAGATCATGATGAAGAGTAAAGTAAGACTTTTCAACTTCTTTTTCTTTCAGTGTCACTACTCTGTATACTACTGTATTTTTTTAATTTTTACTGTGTGAATACTGCAGAGGTGTTTGGTAATTCCTACAGCTGTCTGCTTCAGCTGCAGAGGGCCTTTCACTGGGAGGGGAGAACAGGAGGTACCTGGGGGTCTTCTAACCTTTAAGCCTGTGCTCTGCTGTTCTCGTCCCCCGCAGACAAAGGCAGACCACGCAGACAATGCAGAGGTGGAGATCACGCGCTGTAGCAGGGGTCAGTACTTCGGGGAGCTGGCCCTGGTCACTAACAAGCCCCGGGCCGCCTCAGCCTACGCAGTGGGAGACGTGAAGTGTTTGGGTAAGACATCGAGTATTTGGAAAAACTTATTAAACACATACCAGCTTCAGTACTTAAGCCTGCACACAGGAGAGCTAATCATGAAGAAAAATGTTTACATGAAGTAGTTTGTCATTTTCACCTTGCCATAGATTTTAAGAAAAGTGATTTCCAATAGCTAAAGGTCCTAATTGTCTCTGTTAGAAAGTCGGTTGTGTTAATTTTAATTTAATTTATTAAAACCTGGTACGCACTCCAGCTTGATGGAGCTCCCAGAACTTGGTCAGTATCTGTTTTTTTTTCTCACTAATCAAACAGTTACAAGTAGTTTGTCATGTGAGAACAAGTGACATTTGAGTTCTAAATTATTTTCAATTGTTGTTCATCTCATCCACCATTACTTTGTAGTTTTGATAATTGAAGGCTGTTGTGTAATTGCTTTGGTTTTAAAGTGGGTTCACCAATTCAGGCTCTCCAGTGGATAAGTAGCTCTTCAACTTTAAAACTGAGCAGAGGTTTTTTTTAAACAGCTGTAATTGTGCTTTAGTCATCGTTCTGTTGTGAAATTTGTTTAATTTATTCTTGTGTGTGTATATACATGGATGTTATACCAGTCCGTCTTGCTCTGTGTTTTTTCTCAATGCTCAGTACAATCATGCACACCCTGTTCATATAACATAACACACCTGCCACTTTTGTTTATATTACCAGCAGTAACAGCCTGTCTGCTACAGCTGCTGTTTGGTTTGAGAAGCTGAGAAAATGTCATTCAGCTTTACAGCAGCAACATTGTCAGTTGTTCCATCATCATTTTAACGATCCTCTTTGGCTCCGGCTGTTGTAAAATATGAACCCAAAAGAGAATCCTCTGGACCTTCTGGGACTGGAAAATCAGAGCCCAATTTGTTGAACATAAAGTGGCACGAGGCCCAGTCAGACATTACCAATGTATGGATCAAAATGATAATTATTCTAAACCTTGGTTTAATTTTTATTGTATTTACATCGTAACTAAACTATCATAACTAACATAACTAAATTAAATACACTTACAAGTAAGTGTATTTTAGGTCGTATTCAGACC